TTCCTTCCTTCCTTCCTTCCTTCCTTCCTTCCGTCCTTCCTTCTTTCCTTCCTTCCTTCCTTCCTTCCCTTCTTCCTTCCTTCCTTCCCTTCTTCCTTCCTTCCTTCCTTCCTTCCTTCCTTCCTGCCTGCCTTCCCGCCACCCCTCGGAGGGACGAAAACAAAGGGCCAAAAACAACAAAAAAAAAAGGGCAAAAAATAGGGTCCCCGAACCAGAAGGGTGGTATTGTACTTAGACTTAGACGTACTCATGCAATTCGTAACGTTATAGCTCAAAGGTTTCTTGCATGCTCACACAAGGCCCCGGACACCCTCAAAGTCGTTTGAACTTCCTAGGAGCTTGCTTGTGTCGTACCAAGTTCGGCCTAACGACATGTTGGTATCTCTCTTGCAGTACCTGGTTCCGGTCAAGGCGATCGCAGTGGTGACTTTCAATGTAGCTTCGTGGCACACTGGCAGTCCATTAATTAAGGGTGGTGGAAGCTGCCGTTGCATGTGCTGTCGGCCGTCGTTTCGTATCACAGCAGTGAAGTAAAACCCTTGCTGAAATGAGCCCTTACGTTCAGAGACTGTTTCTTGTCGCTCTCTTTTGTATCCTGTCCTCTACGTTTGAAAAAATTAAAATTAAAGAATGCCAGGGACACGGACCGATGCAGCGTCAATGTCGCATGTTACCGTCACACCGCTGAAAGCCACCATCCCATCTTGCCGCCGGAACGCGAATCCACAATGACGAGGGGCAGATTATACTCTTCAATGTTGTCACGTGCATCCTTGTCTGCGCAGCAAGTTTGGAAAAAGATAGCGTAGCAAACATACTGCGAACTTCTGCGCTCCTCCAGGGAGCCAAACTGGTCGCCATATGCTTCTCCGTCAACATTGGTTGCAATGATGAAGAATGGGGGTTTGTGCTCATCGTCTCCCTGGCAGATCGAGGAAAACACAGAAAGGCAGCCGTCCGGTAGTTGTCAGAGTTGAGAATCCAGAATTTCCGGCCTGATAGAAGTTGCTCCAGAAGTGATCGTGCATCTCTCGCATAACCCTACCTGCGCCGCTTTTCAGTGGTCGTCTATTCCTATTTTGTGCAGCTAGCTTGGTGGAATCATGCCTCGAGTTCCGTAGTATCTTAGCTCATTGAACCTCCCGTTGACCAGGATCGTTGCATAGGCCCCGCCATCCAGCATGTCGAAGCGATCGTTTGCTTCATCCAGGTCGTCGAAAGCTTCGGCTTTCACATCCCCCCATCCTTCGTGCCATAAAACCACGAAGGTCTCGTCACTGTCTGCAACCTGTCCGAAAGTATCTGTAGTGTAAGCAATGGACGCCGAAACTTCAAGCAAACACCGAGACCGCTGCAGGAGCCTCTTCGCGGACAGACGCTTCCTCTGACACGTCCTTAGAAACCGCCTCGGAAACTGCATCGTCGGGGTCTTCGGGCGGTTCGCTTTTTCGCTCATCGCCAGATGCATCGCCGCCATCGTTGCCCGGCAGAGGAAGGCTTCCAGAGATTCCGGAGTGCTGTGAATTTGTCTCTGCCTGCATCAGGGTAGGCAACCGCGATGTCTGCGAATGACGCCCAACTAAGCAGGTACTATAGCGTCTGCCTGCTCGGCGTCCAGATCCTCTTGTGCAAAAAGAGCCAGGAAGTATTCGGGATAAACACCACCTGAAACGAGATGAACTCGTGAAGCAGCATGAGGCAACGCTTGAATGATGCCGAGCTGCTGAAGTTTTTGACAAGAACTTCCTTCCGCTTGTTCTCGTCTACCTGTGGCTCAGCTTTTCGGACACGTCCGATGTCACGCTGTTCTCTGTGGAAAGGCTTGCTTAAAGCTGTACGCGCCGTGTTCGGTTTCGGTATCCGACCAGTAGTCAGCATTAAGCCAGGAACTGGCCTTCAGAATAATGCAGTCCTTCCCGTCTGGCTCTTCTGGATTGTCAGATGGGACTCCGCAGATCACCCGACAAAGAATCGCAATTTTGGTGCCGTCCTTCCAGCCGTTGCCGTTACTGAAGCTGAAAAGTCATGGGCACAGCAATCTCCGTACATGATCCTACTTCTTGGCAGTGTCCTTCGATCTGACCGCCTTGAGGGCGGTGTTCAAACTTTCGTAGAAGTGCGCACCATACCCGTACTTCTTCGAGATCTTCATCTGGCCTTTACCAATCTCCTTCGAACGCTGAAAGAATGTTCAAGGCTGCAGTGTCAAATCCGAGAAGAAGCGTGGTGAAGGTGTCTTGGAGGAAAGCTCCAAAGCTGAATCGCTACAGCACTTCTATGAACTAGGTGGTCCCAAGTCCCAAGGTCCTCAGCTTCCTCTTCGGTAGAACCTTGATGGCAAGGTCTCAAGATCTGACGTCGCAGCCTCGAACCTGGGGGGCAAGCAGGCCATCCAAAGGAAGGCTTCGTGGACCTCTTTGTCAAGCTCGTCGACCTCATCTCGAAACCCGTCGTTGCTTTGCCACGCGAAGCATCGGTAAGCTGTTCAGCTGCGTTCAGCTTCACTGGGAATCCTGCAGGGAGACGCCGCCCTGCCGCCAATCCCTCCTCCCCGAGGTCTGCGGCGAACTCGTTGTGCGAGAACCTGCCAGCCAGGTCGCGAACCTTCGGCTAATTCGCCGCCAATCCGCATTTGGCAGGCCTGCCTGCATTTGTCGCCTTTCCTGCAGCCCTTCTTCAAGAACTTGCACGGGCGCTTTGTAAGTGCTCGCAAGTCTTTCCTGGACAGATTCCCAGCTGCATCTCTAGCATACTTCACATCGACCAGGGCTGTCAGGTATGTGCAAGCCAGTGTCTCCACCATATTCACCTTGAGCTCGAAGCCCAAATTCTTCAAGTCTTCCGCCAGCTGCTCGTCGTCAGCCAGCCGCTCGTGCAAGCCGGCTTTCACGCTAACCTGACCCCGGTGGACACAGCACGCCGCTCTGCTCTGCTTTGCTCATCCCAGGCCCAGGAGCCCAAGTCTCCCAGAGATCGGCATCCTCCAAGCGCTCGGCACGCAGTAGCGTGCGGCTGGGCTGGACTCGTGACTGGTTCACCAACTGGGCGTAGTGTCAGGATCAAGTTTGAGTCTGTGGAAATTCAGAACCTCAAGACACCTCAAGACATCAGAGTAAGTTGCGAACGCACTGCATGTGAGTCTTGCCAGCATCTGCCAGGGCCAGAGCTGCAGCAGTTTCAATGTGCAAAGCCCGAGAGAGCACGGTGCCTTCTAATGGTTCCGGATTGCTGAATCTGTCTTTGGTCAGGTTGGTGGCGACGTTCCTGCGAAGACAGGCACAACTTCCCAACTCTCACCACAAAGCTTCTCCAAAAATAAGGCAAACCTCCCTGATACTCCCACAGCAAACACCATCAAAGCTGCCAAGGCTCTTCCAGTGCAGGGGTATCTGCATGAAGAACTTGCGCCTCATTTTTTCTTCGATAGCATGCTCATCATCCTTAGTGCAGCAGCTTTGTAGTGTTGGTCGGTGTCGAGATATATCCAACTTGTTGTGGGCCAGGCCATCAATGCTTGCAACATGCCAAAACAAGTGACGAGTTTGAAGGTCGAGCATGGACCCAGCTTCTGACTGAGACTTCATGCCCTGTGTGAGGCTTGCTGATGGGTGTGGCTTGCCCTATGTAGTGCGTGCATACAAGTTCACTCATTCAATTGTAACGAAGACAAACGTGCCCCTGGGATGCAACATGCGAAGCCTGCTTCGTTAACCAGTTCAAGTCGCAGCGTAAGCTAGCCGTCATCAAGGGACGCAACTCAAGGGGTGAACCTGATATTGAAATTGAGCTATCTGCAGGTGGAGATCTTTTGCATAGACGCGCTGGTAAAGCACGAGGTATTCCGGATAGCATTGGTCTGCATCGTACACCACCAATTCACGGAACAAGCCTCAGTTAGCTATCGCCAGACCTCAAACTGTGCGAGGAGAGCACCTCGTGCTGACGTGCTGAAGTTGTCCAAGAGGCGGGTGCCGCAAGTCGAGTCGAATTCGCCGGACATGACCCTCTCGCCTGCCTTTGGATCGCCCTTTGTGCAATTCATCTTCCCCATCGTCAGCCGGCAGACCAGCACGGCAAAAACCCCATCCTGAGAGCATGCAGGACATGCGGCTGACAGAGCGTTCTGCCGTTCTGCGCTTCTACCGCCCGACAAGCTGCATAGTAGCCATCAGGCTCATCCTTGGCGTACTCATCCGCCTAACAGCTCTTTGCGCGCAGCACGGGGCAGCACGAGATTCGTGGAGGCCCAGCCTTTGTGATGGACTCACCAAGGTATGCACCTCGACCATACAGTGTTCCAGTACTGGAGCCTGCATACTCGATTTTGAAGTCCTTGGACGACAGGGGTCAAGACCTTTAAATTTTAAATATGCTTCCGGCATGTGTCATAGGAGAAAGAGGGTCTTTTTCTGTCCGAAGGGTTGGAGCAAGCGTGTCACTTAACAGCAAAGAAGCATTTTCCGCAATGGACAAGGCATAGCGAACGAAGGTCCCATGGTAAGCATAGACCTCGTTCACAGAGTTGTCCAAGGGAGCAAAGGTACCTGAGTCCACTGATTTACTGGGTGCGAAATCAGAAATGCCAGAGCCAGGGTACCTGGATACTTTTCGGTCACTGACCGCGTCAACGGCGGAGGATTGAACTCCTCAATCCCTTCGCCCCGGCTCTCCCGGATGGCATTTCGCTTATCTACATATCCTTGGCTGGAGGGTGTAAACGGAATGAGGAACTGCCGTCTAGCCCGAGAAAAGTCCATCGCCGCACCGACACAGCTGAGTGACTCCTCCAAATGTCGGATGCCTGTGTGACACATGACACTAACTTAGACGTTCGCCGTTGTTGTCTTCCCGCCTCCACTCGAATAACGCGACGGACGCGATACCTCGTGGGAAGCCCTGGATCCGCACCTGGCCTCGGTTAGCACGAGAAGCCAGTTTTCAAGCAAGGTTCATGGCTTTTCACGACGAGCTGGACTCAACTAGACAGGTCCATTTGTTGCGGCGCATTAAATAGGATGCATTGGTAGGTCTATTTCTCGTACACTTTCTACACAGCATTTCTTCATCTGACCTTGCTAGAAGTTTGAGACTTGTTGTGACTCAGGAGCAAATGCCTTGTCCTATAGAACGCTTCGCACTGTAGAGCTGTCCGCAAAAGAACACTCTTCGGAAAGCCAAGGTGCTGTACACAAGGACATCCGCCTGGAGTCTTGCCATGCTCGCCAGTGGGACAAGGTCGGTCTTGTGTGGCTTTGGCTACCTTAACCACACAATTGATCTCCAACAGGCTCTCAACCCCCAGTCACAGGACCGAAGTTCAATGCTGCAAGCTGCATACGATTCGTTCAGCATCTCTTCAAAAGCTGCATGCTCTGTCTCCGGTGCGTAGAACCTGACACAAGAAGCATTCAGCACACCAAGCTTGCGTGCAAGCATTCCTGCATGTGCAGCATGACGCTTGGTGGCAAAAGAGTGTTGCCGGGTTCACTTTCGGCATCTCGCACAGCACAGCTAGCTCGGAGAGAGGATCGGAGCAAAACGACACAGTTCGGAGTCATTAGTCTTAGTGGAGATGCAGCACATTAACTTCTGGACAAATTCAGTGCCGACTGGGTGGTTGACACTGCCACAAAAGTCTCTGAGATGGCGCAATCGAAAATAACACCCAAATCGCTGGCATGTCCCAGCGCGGACACACAAGCAGTTGAGGGTAAAGATCATCATCGAATACCGCAGCCCATGCGTTTGCTTCAACCTGATACTCCTGGTGATGTGCGGTGAAGCACCTTGCACTTTCTGAGGCGTCCCCATTACAACGCGTATGCCTTGCAAAATCTTGCTCGGAGCCCGTTACAGGCACTACAACTAGCGAGGCGGGATCACTGCTGCGGCGAATAGGATGGGAAAGAAGGATGCACTGTTTTCGCCCAAACAAACGAGTCTTGTGCATCTTTCACCAGTCGTGCTCGTTCCTGTTACCATGCACTGTCGCAGCGTTGGGTGAAGTTCAGGTTCCGCTGAAATCTGCAGTAGCTGGATAAAGCTGGGGCACATATCATCAAAGCGAGAATTTGCATGGTCTGCGGTCCCTTTGGAGTGATACCTGAAGTAGCATGCCATGAGAGCCCCACAGATGTGCCAATGGAACATGTTGTCATGTGGCAGCATGTCTGGTCAGGGTGCCAGTACTCCGGAAGAGCATCGTCGCCGGAAGCGGACACTTCGCTTCTCTGGCTTGTCCTTGGAACATCTCCTTTTGGCGCATCGTCCTCTGGCGAGCGTGAGCTGCTTGTCTTCACCTCGGATTCACTTGGGCTGGCTGCGAGAACTGCAGGAAGCCATCTTTTCGTGCACTGGGCAGCGGGCCGGCACAGGAGCAGCGTGGATGACTGGGGGTGCTGTGGGAGTCTTACTTGCTCCGGAACCCATGGCCAGTAGCTCATCATGGTCACCGGGGCTACCCTGATTGAGCACAATGCATTTGGAAACAGAGTGCGGTGGTAGTGCTTGAGTGTCACCCCAGTCGGCTGGGGTATTTGGCGCACCAGAACGAGGTAAGGCATTTCGCCGTCTTGAATGTACATACTCGAATGTTACAGTGTTCAGCAGCATTTTTTGCCTTACAGCTGTGAGGTCAGATGTTGCTTACTCGCGCTGGACTTTGCCGCTCGCGCCACAACCTCAACTACGAGCACGGAATGCGCTAGTAGCAGATTAAAACGGACTGCAGTGTCCGAACCGCAACACGTCCTGCCGAGGTTGAAAACATCGCGATGGATTTCCATCCGACATGTCATCGGCAGGCAACTTCCGGTCACTCTGCGACGGCGCAGCACAGCATGCCTGGTGCGAAGAGAAAAGCAGGAAAAAGATGGCCTGCCGACACTTCCTGCATGACGTCGCTGGCAACGGGCTTGGCCTTTCTCCCCCGGCTCCTCGGTTGGGTCGTCCACAGCCAGTCGCGGCTCGTCGCCATCCTTGCCTCTCCGCCATCCGGCGCTCTCTCGGTTGCATTGGTTACTGTCATTTCACATTATCGCCGGTGCGGTCTCAAACTTCCCAACTCTAGCAGCTAGGACAGTGAAGAGCAAGTGCGACTCTCCGGTGCCTTTCGGTGATCTGTCCATGCTTTCAATCATCTTTTCGACCTCCTGCAGGTCAAACCCGCACGGGATGGATTCGACAGCGAGGTGTACGTCATGATGAGACAGAGAACATTGCAAAACAAATGTGATGCTTTGCAGGTAATCGATGTCGACCAGCTCTCCAAGTCAGGAGGCAAGCAAGACTCGGTGCGACAAGTGCGGATCGAGCCGGGCCGGGTTGCTCCTCTTCATCGCTGTAGCTGAGGCACAGGTGGTATTCGGGGTAGACAGCACCTGAGACGCTTCTGCGGGTTCATACCAGGTTACGTGCAAGCCAGCACTATCACGGCTGGGGGCTGCCGTCTTTGACGAGTACTTCTCTGCGTCCATTGGCATCGGTCTGACACGCCATAAAGACTTGTGTAGCTCAAGCAAAATGATCGCACTGCTCAGGCCTCGATGATCATGAAGTCGGTGTTGTCGTCAGCAACGTCAACGCCGGGCAGCCCGCACATGACACGGCACAGCACCGCCACTTTCATGCCGTCCTGGTGCAGCGGAGGTATCTGGCTAAGGCAGGTGAGGAATCTCCCATGCATGCTTTTGCATGCCAGGTTGCCTCAGCCTTCGTCTGCTTGAGCGCGGTCTGCAAGCTTTCGTAGAATCGTGTCCCCGGAAGTGTCGCATCCTTCTTTACATGGCCCTGGCTCAGTTCCTTGGGTCATGTAAGTGGTGAAGGGGACACGCAGGATGAGACTATTTCTCCCATGCTTCCGAGGCGGCTGACCGCGTGCCTGAGGCGAGGCAGTCGCCCAGCGAAAATTTCCCAAAACTTACTCAACTTCTTGGGCCCGTGCAAGCATACCACAAGAAGCCTTCGTGCAAACGCCTGTCCAGTTCATCCACCTGTTGCTTCAGTGAAGGCAGACTTCACTGGGGATGTCAGGCTGTGCCAGGCCACCGGCAAGCGTCTACCGGCTGCAAGACCCAAGTCGTCCAAGTCTAACCCAAACTCGTTGTGCGAAAACCTCTGGGCACATCTTCTCACTTTGCTCTCCCAAGGATAGGTCGCAGAACAGTGGCCTGCATTTGTCGCCGGACTTACAGCCCCGCGGGGTCTTAAAAAACTTGCACGGCCGCTTCATCAGCGCACGTAGATCTTTCCTCAATCAGGCACACAAAACACAGGAAGGCTCCTGAACCCAGCCGCGCTTTGAACAAAGGCTCTCCACCAAAGTGAGCCGTAAGGGATCCCCACTTCGGTCATCTATCCGACTGCGCAGAGCCGCCTTGAATTGCACCTGATACGCAAGCTGACGGATGCTGAACGCAACAGGCTGCAACTGCTCGCTTGCTTTCAACCTTATAAAGTCTCGTGAAGCGGTAAATCCAAGCTGAGATGCATAGCGTTCCCATATCGTGGAGTCTTCCAACCGTGTTGCTTGCAGGATGGTCCGTGCTGGCACGAGCTGTGCTTGGTTGACCAACTTAGCATTCGATGCAACTCCGCAGCCCACACCCGTTCAGCAGCGGATGCCAAGTGCCACACGCACTGCATCCATGCAGTCGCCGGACCTGCAGTGGAGGCCAGAAGTTCAGACGCCACGCAGTCTACGGCTTCTTCTCTCCTGCAACGTGCGCGCCTTTCAGATCAACCTCCTCCCGAAAGCCGGCAGACAAGTCGGTCGCGACATTCCTCGAGGCTACTCAACGCTTCGACTCAGGGAACTAAGCTTTGTACCCTTGTCGCTACGGGCTGCTTGAAGAGGTCCTCCAGTGAAGTGGCACTTGCATGAAGAATCGGCGTTTCCGTGGCTTTGTGGTCTCCTCCTCCGGGTCCTGCATCGCTGAAGATGTGCGAAAGGCATCGTCTGTGCTCTGCAGGTCGCTGCATTCCTGCCTTGGCATACTTCCTCTTGTAGAGAACAAGATATTCGGGATAGCACTGGTCAGCATCGTAGATCACCAGCTCTCGAAACACACCTGCTCAGTCAGATTCTAAGTACAGGTAGCATCGCTGCTTATTTTCAGTGGAAAATGAATGACAAGAGGAAGAAAATGCGGCTTGTTCATCCCCCGAGCTGCGCGTGCCGCAGGTGCTGTCGAACTGTCCGGCGCTGACTTTCTCCGCGGCTTTCGCGTCAGATTTGGTACAGTTCAGCTTGCCCATAACAACACGGCAAACCAGGACGGCAAAGACTCCGTCCTAGGAACAAGTGTGCACTGCCCCTTCAAGCCTGGTGCAAGTCAAGCTCCTGCTGCCATGGAACATAGAAGCCTCCTGGTTCGTCCTTTGCGTACTCATCTGCCTGAAACTGACAGAGGGACTGATGACCAACAATCAAGAGTTGCACTCCCTGCCTTGCTGATAGACTCGCCAAGATATGCCCCTCGACCGTACAATGTGCCCGTGCTTGAGCCCGCGAGGTCGATTCTGAACGCCTCCGAGTTGCTCCCACATGAAGCCATGCAGTCATGCAAGACTTTCTCAAGAACACGATCTTAAGGGTCTCTGCAGCTCAGCAACGTTCTCGGCGATTGCCAAGGCATAGCGCACCTGCGTGCCATGGAAAGCATAAACCTCGTTGATGGATCCGTCCACCGGAGCAAACGTACCTCGACAGTCCGCAACGAAACTTCCACGGCCACGTCGTGCTGGCATCATTGCCGTGCAATTAGGGTCGGCTGTGTCTGACATTGTGATCCTGATCTGCAAGGGCCAAGCTGCCGGTGTACTCGGAGGCCTTGTTCATTGTCTTGACGGGAGGGTCGAACTCTTCGACGCCACCAGGCCGCGAGGCCATGATTGCCTTTTTCTTGTTCTGGTAGCCTTGAACGCACTCTAATGCACGCACCTGCACAGCCTCTCTGGCCAGAACTGCCAAGTTCCCACGATATCTTGTGCCAAGGTTCGCTCCCACAGCTCCGAGGACTCGCGCACAGCAAAAAGGGGCAAGCAATGGCTACAGGGCTAGTGCATTGTGGTGCAATCCGCATGTTGTGGGCTGTTTTCTAGTCCACCCCGAAGAAAGGCTGAACATTCGCCTCCACGCGAATGACGCGCTGAACATTGAAAGACACCGGAAGTCCGGGATCTGCTCCGGGCCTCTAGGACTCGAGAGCAGCTCTCAACTTCTGAGCTCTGCGGGTTTTGATCAAGGCAGTCGAGGCACTGGTTGCAGGGGCAGCCTCCAGGTGTTTTGCCGCAAGTGCCCTTCGGGCATGGGCGGTCCTGCGTCGCTTTTGCGACCTGGGTCAGATCTGCCACGAAGCAGGTTCTTTGATGCCGTCTCGCGCCGAGCTGCATAGGATTCTTCAAACATCTCTTGGAAGCAGTGATGCTCGGAGTCCGGAGCATAAAACCTTGGCTGGGATGTTCAAGCTTTGGGCGCTGACCTGAAGCTGCATCGCTCCCTTCTCATGTCACCACACCAGAAACCACCGGAAGCTGGTTCTAGGATGGTGCTTAGGCGCACAAGTTTGTGCCATTCAGTGTCCCGCTGCAGCAGTGGGAATGGGAACAACATTCTTGCTTTCTCGTGGCTGGTGGTGCCAGAAACTGCCCCAACAAGGACGAGGAATACTGCAGCATCACGACGATAGGTCGTTGACAAGTTTCCGCACTGCTGGGGTGCAAACCCGAAGTCCCCTGCCTAGCAAGGTCCGCAAGCTTGGTGACAAGTCTAACCCAGCAAATGGACATTAAGTCGGCAATTCTCCAGGCATGTGCAGTCACGGGCAGATGTACACACGAGGCCGATGGCAAGCAAAAGGGCTGCTTTGGGCAAGATGCATGTCATCAAATCCGGGTGTCTGGTCTGCCGTCTTATTATGGTACCTTGGTTTCAACTGGCCGAAGCCACCCAGGTCTACCGCAACGACAGGCAGAACTCTGCGCACCACAGCTCCAAATCAAGTGTTGCAGAAGCTTCTGCATGCATTGGGCTGCCAATACTCCGGGTAGCCATCGTCCCCCGGATTTGATGCGAGGCTAGTTGATGTGGTAGCCGCCGGCTTCGAAGCCTGAAAGGCACAGAAAGGTTTCGAAGCAGCTGGCTGCCACAACGGAACCGCAAATCCGATCCAAGTAGCAGCTTCCACCACAGGGCTGGAGCTGGCGCATCCCATGGATACCACACAACTCGCTTATGCAAACAACAAGACACTGATTCGCCTCCGAGCGCTGCTGTTGTGTAAGCCATGCTGTCTGCTGCACGTTTGGGCCCATGCTTGCAGATGGCATAGCTTTGGAATTGGTTTACGCTCAGGTCATGGAGAACAAGCTCCTTGAACTTTGAAGGGGCTCTGCTCTTTTCGTGCTGGAGAAGCCAGAAAATGCTTGCCTAGCTCGCAGTTGCCGAGTGCGTCAGCCTTTGTGACGCGTTGGGGCTGCGATGGGATGTGCCTAGTTTGTGGCCCAAACCGAAGCAAAAGAACACTTTGGTACATGCAAAAGTCCTTCCTGTGAAAGGGCCCAGCTATGCACTCTTGCAACCCTGGCGCATTTACGCCTAGGTTGCGAATTACAATCTCGGCGATTTAGGGCTTCGTTCTTGTGCCTGGCATAAGGCAATGGATGGGGTCCCACAAGAGCAAGTCTCCCGGGCGCAAATCGGGGTCTCCTCTGCATCGCTCGCCGAGGCTCCCTGGCTGGCGTGGCTGGCGCAGTCATCTGGCCTCGAAAAAAGACTTCCGCTGAAATTGCATAGTAAGTACTTCTTTCGCACAGCCTGCTTTCTTCGCCAGCCTCTGCTGCTGCCTCGGAAACTCGGACTGGCCCAGCCTTCTGCTGCTCTTCCGCTCAGGCGCAAACACTGAGAACTGAGAAAATTTCGCCCACCCGGATGTGGCTGGCAGTGCTCTCCTGCTGAGGCCTCAGCATTTTGTGGAGAAAAAGCCATCTCGCGCAGCTTCGCAGTCCGTGGCTCATCGCAACTCCCAGATCCACGGGGCCGAATCTGATTTCTCAGCCGCAAGCCCCTCGTATGCAAATCGCAAGTTGCCTTGCCGTGCGACATTGCAGCACCAAGAACCGGAGAAGCTTTGGGGCACCTGGGACGCCTGCCACCAAAACATACCACAACTGAGCTTAGGGCCGTTTCTCTCCAACGTAGAGTACTGCAGCCTCAACCAATCGAATCTGGCACATTCCTCCATTTTCCGACTGCACAAGTCTTGCTGGCATGGCGAACGACGACCCCAAGGCCAGGACACATCGGGCATACACCCCACCTCAAGACATGCTCCAGCATTAAGCACCAAGGGCCGTCCTTCCTCCGGTGCTGTGAGGCCGTGGCTGTGCCGTCTTGGAGGAACTTGAGGAAACTCTTTTTGGTTAGGATCCCTCGCAGCAGATCCTACAAGCCAGGCTATGGGAGCGAACCATCCAATGCGTCCAAAAATGAGCGCGGGCATTCGGAGGCTCCTGCTGGCCCCCGGGAACAGAACCCACGATGAAGATTCTCTGGCAGCCAAGCCTTTCAAATTCAACTCTGTCGCAGCCGCGTCCGGGAAGTATGTGGCCCTCGCTGCTTGAAGACTTGATGTGCTTGAGTCAGCGGGGCGTCGGGCACCATACGCATGACCTGTGCAAGTGATGCATCCCTCCCAACCAGGCTCCGCCAACCCAGAGACCGGGGCCGTAGAGTCGATGACAGAAGCCAAATCCTCCAGAGCCACCACCTGTCTTCTAATGCATTTTCTGAATCTTCGAAGAGCTCTGTAAAGGCACAAAGCTGTGCCTCGTTCTGGCCTCGGACGAGCTCCATTCGCGAGAGCCAGTCCTGCAACCTTTGCGACGGAAGGGCAGGAGCAACTGCATATGCATAGCTGTTTCAGATGTGCTGGCTGCAGCCGATCGTGCAGAGATCTTGTTTTTGAGCCCTCGACGCTGATCGGCGGATGTAGCCAACCTCATGACAGACGACTTGGCCACTGCTCGGAGCCATGGAGCTGTGGTGTTTTCTTGCCCGAGAGGATGGCAAAGCGATCGCCATCAACCACGGGAAAGCCGCGGAACGTAAATGCCCGGACCATTACACGGATGTCCTCACACATTGCACGTTCCGACATGGTACTGCTCAAAAGCATGCAGTAAAAAAATCGTTGCTTGGAGCTTAAGGCTTAAGGCCAGCAGAGCTTCAAGGAAGCGGGGGCGAAGCTTCACGTCGAGCTTCACCAAGCCTGGTCAACTGCCCTCAATTTCAAAACGTCCCTTCGGGCTTGTACGGCCTTAATGCATAACTGCCTGTCTCCATGATGTCACAACAGCGCTCCGTGAAGGTTACATCCAACCTTATCGCCCAGTCACCCGGCTGCGAGCAGAAAATCCCCGTTCCGCTCGGGCCCAAGCTCTTCATGCAGAAAGGGATAACCCTTCAAAACGATCTGCAAGTCGTAAATGCCTGCCAGGATCTCGCTCTGCACTTCGGATTTGCGTTTCGCCCATAAGGCGAAAAAGCTTAGAGGCTGTTACGCAGAGTCTTGTCCCGACTCGGGTTCGGGTTAACATAGTTAACATCTGCTGAAGTTGCAAGGCATTGCGGAGCCACTGCCGGTGGATGGGTACTTCGTATTGCGAGCAGGTGCCTTCGTTCAAAGAGTCGCCAACAGCTTTGGCCAGCAACACAGAAATCATGAAAGGCACCACGTAGTCTAAGCCTGCCGGACCGAAGAGCTGCTAGTTCGAGTGAAAACATCACAAGAGCACCTCCGGTCAGCTCCAACATAATCACGACCAGAGATATCGTCCTTGGGAAACAAACCGAATCCAAGCAGATGCTTGCCTGGCGCATCGCAGAGGTAGGCCCATGGCATGCGGCTGACCCCTCCAAGGACCGAGGCTGCGCCCACCATGGAATAGACCTAGAAGACTGAAAGCCGCGCAGCTCCCAGACCTCATGGGATCTGAGAAGGGAGCGCCCGGATCGACCTTGTTGGGAAACCTGACGGCGAGGCCTACTTGCACGCGACGCGTCTGCATGCATGGATGCGCCCCTGAGGCCCTAAGAGTCACCGCAAACCGATTCCGGGCGGTCGTTCAGTTTTGAGGCTCTGGCAATCGAGTGCCTGCGTTCAGTGCTTTGAGACCCAGCGCAAGGCACCGCCTTGGTGGCGGATGGCGTGGACATTCGTCTGATTAAACAGACTGAGGCTCGGACCCCAAACATGCGCCGACAAAGAGGGACGGGACAAAAAGTCCAGCTGGGCAGGCCTGGATGTCTGGCGTACGGTCTGCAATCTGTCAAACTTCTCAGATGCAAACGAGGCAACTACCGAGCCAATGGTGAAGACCATCTGGCCTGCTCTGCAAGCTGCTCTTTTCCCATCTCCCTAAGCGGAGGTCTCGGGGGCCGCGACAGAAGCGGAGCGCAGCTGCCAGGCCGAGGGAGGTCAGCAGGCCGTTGCCCGAGGACTGCCAGTGGCTTTTTTTTGCAGAGAGACCCCCTTTTTCCGAAAGCTTCCGAGGTCCCGGGCATTGCTGTACCCGTCCTCTGTGCAAAGCCCAAACTCGGCTTGCAACCTCTTCGTGGCATTGGACCGGCACTCCGGCACTGCATCGCCCCTTCTCAGGGCCTGCTGCGCACCGTCTCCCCGGGCTCGTCGCTGCACGTGTCAAAGAGAGCATGAATTGTCGGGGCCTTCGAGGGCTTGCAACTCACAGAACTGGTGCTTCCTGTGCTGCCATGCCGGAGTGCTGAGCACGATGCCATGAGGTATCGCGTCAGGCTCAGCGGCCAGGACGAAACAAGCGTTACGAACGCGAGCACGGAGGCCTTCCCAAATCGGCGTAACGAACATGCACTGTAGACAATGCCGACGGCTGGGAATAGCCTTTCTCTTCGGGCTTCCCTGGCCTCTTGCACCGGCCCCAACCATCGTTTGAATGCAGGTTTTGCTTTGAAAGCACACCACCTGGCATGCAGAAGCTTGCGCGGACGCAGCTCATGCTTACACGTAGGCTCCAGTTCCACGAAGTTAGACTTGTTCATGCGTCATATGGCCAGACTACTAGTGCAGGTGAACGCTCCTTGAACAAGTTACCCGACCGGAGCATGTAGGCAGCTTGGCCTGATGTTCAATGCGTTAAAGAGGGCGCCGACCTCAGGCTTTCAGAGAGACCGAGAGAGACAGAGACCCAGAGCGGAGGAAAGACAGCGGCAAGACCACCAGCCACACCGAGCACGGCAAACATGACCTGCGAGCGAATCGGCCGTGAAAATAAGTCCTTCTTGAAAGTACAAAATCTAAAGAATATCCTGGCATCTGTGTCAGAATCTGGCGTAATCGCTGGGATGCAGCGTCATCGTATAACGCCTGCAGCTCAACGACCAAGTACTTGTACGAGCTTGTTGCAATCCAAGCACGGGAGAAGCCAAGTCATGGACACACTGTACAATGTCAGATGCCCTGTGCCGGTCAAGTCAGACACGGAAAGGAGAAGAGTCGCCACAACCTTGGGCCAGCAGAGCAGTGTACCAGCTGGCAATTGCAGCAAAGATGCTTCGATGATGCTGCCGTTTCATCTGAGTCCGCCGGCGGATGACACGAATGCCATGAGCAACGTTCTGGACGGAAAATTGGAGCTGACCTGCAAGGTGCTGGTAATCAAAGTGCAGAAGTGTCTAGTCATCTGGCCTGGCAAAGACAGAATCACAGTGCAAATTCGCCAGCCAGTGCAACAAGAGGAGCGCAAGCTTTATTGTAATCCACATGCCACCTTTGTCAAAATGAAGAAGAACCCATTCTCGTCTACTGCAGCATGAGCGCCCACACGCTCTGAGACTCGGATTCTCAAAGTGTCCTTGGCCTCAAACTGCTAGTCTCATTCATGTTGCAGCGACAGGTTGCGAGCACGACACCTGCTTTCCAGGACGTGCATGGTGCACGTGGCAAACGAGACAAGCCTTCGACTTGCACTGTCTGCGAGGGAGATTGCGCGTGCAGGTAAAAAGTTGCGGCACAAGTACAGGCATTGCTCTTGGGATGTCGCTGTAGGAATGAGGAAGCCAACTTCCTTTGGAAGCTTGTCAGTCATTGTCAGCGTCACGTGCCTGTTTCCTCTATTCCTGGGTGCAAATAGGATGCGGACATCTGCCTGTCATGGTCATGTCTTGCGATGTAGGCGATTCTGTCTTTCTTGCTGCCTAAAATGGAGGGTACGAGTCGTCTTTGCTCACGAGGAGAAGGATGGAAACAGGCTGCGGAACCCAAAAGCGCTGTCGGTACTCGTTCCGGGGTGCAGGGTTTCGCATAGTAGCCGGAGATGTGTTGATGGAATTTTTCAAGAAGATAACCTGAACGTATCGGTCATGGCTGCGGGGGCACTAGGACACGATTCGGCTGGCGGCTGGCACCGATCGATTCAACGAAAGATATGCCGATACTTCGGCCGTTCACTGCACAGGGCATGTCTTGCAGGTTTTGCAAGGAGTGCAAGGTACATTGCAGCCTTCCAAGGAGATGTTGGGCGCTGCCTTGGCTCGTTTTTGTGACTCTGCACCGGCCCTGAATCCACCTTTAAATCAAGAAACACCCAGAGTGTGGAGAACCGGGAACTCATCGGTGATGTCCTGCCAAGGCCCAAGTCTCCACAGCTCAAGCGACGGCATGAGGTGTCAGACAGAAAGACTGCAACCCTGAGTGCCAGTGTCACCTGCAGAGACGAGTGGTCCGCCACTCCCACAGGCAACAGTGAGGACAAGAGCTCCGAGATGACTGTCGCTACACCTTCTCCTCAGGCTGCGAACGATTCAGCTAGATTTGCCGCATCCGTGCCACATCTGGCCCCTTCACATGCCGGTCCCTGCTAGTTAATTCTGGAAACGACTGTGCAGCGTGACGCTGGGTTTGCCTAAACTTGAAATGTCTGAGCCTCACTGCCAAGATGCCTTCCAAATGCCAAGACCACTTGCTTGAAGGGATGAACTCGAGCCGCGAACCAGGCATGATCTGCTGCAGCCTCTGCATGGCCTCCCTCACCACCACCAAGGGGGCTTGATCGCTGGCGGCCAGCACGACAGGCGGAGACTGCAACGGCCATTCTTGCATCGAAGAAAATATCGGCGTGAGCTTGGCAAAATTCCAGGAAGGCTGTAAATGTGCCAGATCCCAGAAGTTGTCAGATGCATTGTCCAGGGCTTTCTGGTAGCCAGCCTTTATCTGCTCCATGCCTTCTGCTCCACCAGTAGGATAGGTAAAGTCGGACAGTAAAGGCAGGATTTTGTCATAGTCACGACTGCCGTATGTCTCGCCTAGAAATGCCATCCTCTTCTTGATTTTCTGTGCCAGCTCAGTTTCGTCGAAGTCAGGTGCCTTGAACAAATGCACATTGATGATCAGGGCACCTTGCAAAAAGGGCCGAAGCTCCCATGTCAGGAAAGTGCCAGGGCCGAATGAGCTGTCGACTAGTACGAAGCGGTCACCCAGCTGTGGCAGCAATGCATGGACAACAGCAAGCAAATCATCCTGGAAGACGCGTGGATTGTCTTCCTGCAGCAACTCGGGCTTCACGGTGTCCTCATAAATTGCCCAAATCTTCACAAATTCTTTGCTTGCCCACTCTTCCAGGTGTGGCAGTTGAAGCGACCGCGGAATAAAACGCGGAAGGCCAACGTACAAAACTTGTGCAACTGGGGTAAGATCTGGTTGAATGACACAAACCTTCCTATCTTCCCCGTAAACCTGCACATCAATGTCGAAAGATGTAGCAGTGGTGCGGGACGGGAGAATGCCCTCCAACAGTGAAGACACTTCATTCGTGACGTCTTCCCCTTCCAGATGCCAAGACCACTTGCTGGAAGGGATGAACTCGAGCCGCGAACCAGGCATGATCTGATGCAGCCTCTGCATGGCCTCCCCCACCACCACCAAGGGGGCTTGATCGCTGGCGGCCAGCACGACAGGCGGAGACTGCAACGGCCATTCTTGCATCGAAGAAAATATCGGCGTGAGCTTGGCAAAATTCCAGGAAGGCTGTAAACGTGCCAGATCCCAGAAGTTGTCAGAT